TTGAAGGAGCTAGTGGTGGAGGTAAGGGGAATAAGGAAAGAGTTGAAATGGTGGAAAGAAGAGAGAGCGAGAGAAAGGAAAGAAAAGGAGGAGGAAACAACGGGGTCGCAAGAAGAGGAAAGAGAAGAGGAAGGAGAAGAAGGGAGAGAGGAGGCCAAGGATCAGGGAAGAAAAGCGAGACAGGCAGTAGAAATTGTAGTGGAAAAGGATGAAAGGAGAGAGGAATCAGAAGAGACAGGCAGTGAAAAAGAAAGAGAGGTAAGGAAAGGAAAGAGATCTTGTGGCGTTATTTTTTTACGCAGTGCAGGGTACTTTGTTTTTTGCAGTTTTTTTGTACATTTGAGTACACTATAGTTGGCAGGATGGTTGCCTTCACATAGGACACATTTGACGTTTTGTGTCTTTTCTTTCCTTGAGCAGTTAACTGTTGCATGGTTGCTTGCACATTTTACACATCTTGGTTGTCGTGAACAGAAGTTTTTGGTGTGACCGTACCGCTGACATCGCGAGCATTGAGAGATCTCTCTTTTTTTGTTAGGAGGTTTAAAACGAATCTTCGTGTTTAGTAAAAATTCAATTTTATAAATTTCTTTGGTGTTTAAGTCGCTTTTAAGGTCGACAAAGAACATAGGTAAAGAAGCTTTGGTTACTCTATGCCGAATATTAGATATATTTATGACGCTATGGCCATGTTCCTCGATCTGCTCTCTCAGTAACCCTAGGTCAGCTGAACTGTGCATATTCCTTAATACTACTTTAAATAGTCGATCCTGCTTTTTTTGATATGAATGAAATTCAGTGTTTCTATCTTTTAACGCCTCAACTATTGAGTCGTATGCTTCCATGGAGTTGGCTTGTATCTTGACTTCCTTGACGCTTATTACTCTCAGGGTGTAGCTTTCTTTAGCTTCTTCTAATAGCTTAGTCATTGGGTTAATGTCATCAACTCCTGCGACGAATATTGGAGGGGGTTTTATTTGTTTTTCTTTATCCTTTTTTTTTACTGCCGATAGTCCTGTTCCTTCAGGTGGTTTATCCTGATCGTTCTCTTTATCTATTAGACTAAATCTGTTTGATGTTATAGCAGTGGAGCTGAGCTGTAATCCATTCTTACTTGTTTAGTTCTGTAATGTTGCTTGCTAGTTCTTTACTCTGGACTATTACGTCGTCTTTTTTTCTTGTGCGGGTATTCTTCGTTCCATCCTGGTTCATTGATGGTTTTTTCACTCAAAGTAGATGCATCACTGACTTCGCTGTTATTTGTGCTATTGCCGGATACTGGTTGTCATTTCCCATTCGTTTCCTCAATAGTTGCAGAGGACATGATTTTTGAGACCTGCCCAGTCATCTCTGCGTTTTTTGCTCGCAATGATTGCCTCCCCCCCCCCCAGAATCCGTGAGACCGGCCTTCGAAGAGGATGGATTAACCGTGTTGTTGCCCGGAGTACCACCTGGGGTAATATTTCCATTTGCGTTTTGATTCATTGCTTGCTGTGGTCTGTTGGTCCACGGGAAATATTTTATTTTCTTCCTACCCTACAACGTCCTAAGATAGTTGTCGAGCATTCCCCAATCCGCCACCCGGTGACGCGCTCTCTAGAAAATTTTAATGAGCAGTTTTGCTACTAGGGCACTAGGCTATTGCGTTATTACATTTGTGACACGCACGTTCCTGAGACTAGTGACGCGCTCCTTAGTTACGGCCGTTCGGCGCTGCGTTGCTAAGGAGCGAGCAGTAAGAGGGGGAACCGTAGGCGTGAGTCAAGAAATCCGGCCGAAAGTTGCATCTAAATCCCAGCACTGTAGTAGATGACACTCAGGTTCCTTTTCCGGTAGGACAGAGTGAACACGGGGAAAATGTGCTCGTGAAGAGGGAAAGGAGGAGAGGAGTGTAAGGAGAGAGGAAGAAAGGTAGAGATGGGTCGAAAAAGGGCGAAATGAGAGGAACAAGGGGGAGCAGAGATACATGGAAGGGCGTGAGGGAAGGACCGCAAAAGGGAAGGAAGGAAGATGGAGAGTTTGGAGGTTAGGCGGAGAACAGGAATAGAGCACGTGAGAGTTGATGATAAGAAAGCAGGGAGATGGAGCGGATAAGGAACGGATCGGTAAGGAAGATGGAAGGTGTGGATAGATGGAGCGGACGGAGAATGGATCGATAAGAAGGACGGAAGGTGTGAGTAAAGTAGAGGGAGTGAGATAAGGAGACGTGGATGAAAACTGAGGAGGTCGGTATAGAGGGAGCGGAAGGTGCAAGCACATGGAGGATTGTGATCGGAGGTTAGAGGTATTCGGAAGTGTGGTGCATAATAAGAAGGAGATAGGAAAGCGAGGGAGAAGAGCAGAATAGGATAGGAAGGAAAGAGAAGGAAAGAGATAAAGGTGGAAGAAGAAGTGAGAGGAAAGAAAGAAAGGGAGAGAAATAAGAAGGCTGGGGCATGGAAAAGTGGTTGAAGGAGCTAGTGGTGGAGGTAAGGGGAATAAGGAAAGAGTTGAAATGGTGGAAAGAAGAGAGAGCGAGAGAAAGGAAAGAAAAGGAGGAGGAAACAACGGGGTCGCAAGAAGAGGAAAGAGAAGAGGAAGGAGAAGAAGGGAGAGAGGAGGCCAAGGATCAGGGAAGAAAAGCGAAGAGGGGGTTAGGGGGAGCAAGGGGAGCAGTGAAGGAGGAAATTGTAGTGAAAAAGGATGAAAGGAGAGAAAAATCAGGAGAGACAGGCAGTGAAAAAGAAATTGTAGTGGAAAAGGATGAAAGGAGAGAGGAATCAGAAGAGACAGGCAGTGAAAAAGAAAGAGAGGTAAGGAAAGAAAGGAAGAAGAAAGGTTTAGGTGCAGGAGTAGAGAGAAGGGAGAGAAAGTACTGGTGGGAAGAGGAAAGCGAAGAGGAAGCGGGAGAGAGAGAAGAGGAAGGAGGGAGTAGGGTAGGAGGAAAGAGAGAGGAGAGAGGAAAGGAGGAGAAGAGGGCGAGCAGGTCGGGAGAAGGGAAGAAAAAAGAAGAGAGTAGGAGAAGAGGGAGAGAGAGGAGGGAAAGGATAGAGGAGAGCACGGATGAGAGCACAGAAGGAGAGAGAAAGGAAAGAATTGGGAGAGAGAAGAAGGAGATAAGAAGTGGAAAGGAGGACGAGGAGAAGGAGAGGACTAGGAGGAGAAGAGAGGAGGAGAGACAAGAAGAAGAGAGTGGAGGGAAAGA